GGCATTATTAAATCGCCAAAAAATCGTCTTATACAGGATTTGTTCAAATATTTAGCTTAGTTCTGACTAGGAAGCGTTTAAACCACGTGAGGTGTTTAACGGCGGCGGTCGTCACGACCGACGCGGCTATTTGGCGCGCGAGAAGGCTTTGTTTGACGCAACGTGTTACCGCATGAGACCTGCGCCGGCATTTGTTACCGAACATCGTTTCCCATAGTTCCTGTATCATCGGACACGCTTGACGGATCGATGTCGACTGATCGTCTTTGGTTCAACCTTCTTAGTACGCGGGAACATATCGCACACAGAGAATGATAACGTCACTGCGCAAAAAACTGTTTATTTTTATTTTTAACGTCTCCTTGGATATGGGAGTACGAACTTTATAATGAAAACCCCCCAGTGTTCGTTGTTTGCCTACAATTTGCTACATGACGTAGGGGAACGTGGGGTATTGAGAGCCCGCGGGTAATGAGAGCGGTGTTAAACTGGACTTTCCCAATGCTCGTATTTGTGCAAACGGCACTCCTATGTCTTCGTTAACGTTCGACAAGGTTCGAGTCCCGCGTTTAATCGTATGAGATGGTTGTGTGTTTTTCGCTCCGAGCTTATAAAATTTGCTAAATTTCATCATCCCAGGTAAGCAATAAAATGCATAGATACTACATTGTATTTACACTAGCTATGTCACCATATTATTATCTATCAAATTTTAGAAGTTATGCTTGAAATCACAATAAAAATAGAAATGTTTTTACTGTTTTATTCCTTTTTCAGTTCGATGTTACGCGGGTAATGAGAGCTATTTGGCTCTCCTTATCCCATTGCAATATTCACTTATACATATATTAATATATATGGATATTCCTTAAACACTTTCTTGTTTATTTTAACATATATATTTTATTACTTTCATTTTTTTTTTCAGACTGATTATATGTAATGGCTCCCATTTGACATACGGGATTCTTACCGGCTCCCATTTCCCGAACTGTGGGGTAATGTGAGCGAATGACATGTTTTAGTTTTTTCTTTTTTAACCGAATATTTTATTTTAGTTTCATATTTTTTCTGTGATTATCTAGTACCCAGATATGTGAAGCGTACGTTCATAACTAATAAAAATTTAAATTTAGGCAATTATGACTTTTATTGTCAATTTTCCTTAGTAGGCTCCCATTCCCCCACGCTCCCCTAATGACGTTATGCTGTATAAGGGGAACGGGGCCTAGGCAACAGCGCGATACTGACATTTTTTTCAGGTAGCTGATTTGTGAAACAATTTAGCAGTAACTCCGTGAAGGGTATCGTAATTATTTTGGATAGTGTCGTTTTGCCTGGTTTTGCATTTAGTCTAATATAGTACAGGATTGCTGAGCCAGATCTGTTTATTTTAGCTGAAAATCGCTTTCAAAAATCTACGTTGAGTAAGAAATTGCAATGACAACTTTCAGAACTTTAATTGCTCATTACTCAAAAAAAAAATTGCATTGTGTCACATTATTCTCAGTGTGCGATATATCTGACAATTATCATAATGCAATCGATTCTTTATTACTGTATATCTTGTTAATTATACAGAGAAATGAATTACATTATGAAAAGTCTTGGTTACATATTATTGTTATTGAATGCGTTGTTTATATTTACATAAATCATTAAGCCATTCGTTAATATAAAGCGTTATAATACACTGTACTCGTAAAAGCACGTAGAGTATGTTCCGAAGTAATTCTTACATGTCATAAACAGTTTAGCACGGTGAGATAGATGCGTCGATGTTCTTTTACATTTCTAGTCCGTCGGCGTACGAGACGTGAGCTGTAATTTACTAACACTTATTGTAACACTTATTGTCCATCCAATCATCGCTTTACAGATAGGAGGATCGGAGTAGATTTTTACTTAGGAACAGCTGAAATTTAATAATAGGGGTTAAAGTATGAAATTGCCGATTTGTACTGAAAATCTAAATTGTTTATTTTTTAAATTTTTAACAAATTTATTTAATCAAAATAGTTGCCATTATTATCTATACATTGCTGCCATCTAATGGGAAGTATATTAATGCCTTTGCGATAGAACTCCGACGATCTAGACTGCACAAACTGTGTGAAAGCATTTTGTACTGCCTCCTGGGAAGAAAACTTCTTGTCACGTAGATAATTGTCCAAATCACGAAAAAAATGGTAGTCCGTTGGAGCAAGGTCTGGTGAATACGGAGGATGACGAATGGTTTCTAACTGCAGTTCCTGAAGGGTCAAAATGGTTTCTCGTGCTGTGTGAGGTCTCGCGTTGTCGTGGAGCAATAATGGTGAAGATCGATTCATGAGTCGGGGCTGTTTTACTGCTAGTTTTGTCAACATGGTTCGGAGTTCGGCACAATAGACATCTGCCGTTATTGCTTGACCAGATCGGAGAAAACTATAGTGAATAACACCATGCTGAGACCACCAAACAGTTACCATTACTTTTTTATTGGTAAGTTTTGCTTTAGGACACTGTTGTGGCATTTGACCTGGGGTCAGCCATTGCATTTTTCTTTTCCGGTTATCATAAAGAATCCACTTTTCATCACATGTTACAATTCGATCCAATATTCCTTCATTTCTGTACCGGTTCAACAAGGCAGCACAAGTTTCAACACGCGTTTCTTTCTGCAGATCAGTCAAATCATGAGGCACCCATTTTTCGTATTTTTTTATTTTATTGATTTGACGCAAGTGAGTCAATATTGTGGGTAAGGTAACGTTAAACCATGCCGCTAATTCCTGGGTAGTTTGACTAGGATCGGCTTCCACTATCTCTCTTAATTCATCGTTATTCACCTGTGTGGGCGGTCTTCCTCGTGACTCGTTCTTTAAGTCGAAATTTCCATCACGAAAGCGTTTAAGTCAAAATCGCACGGTGCGTTCATTAGTAGACCCCTCTCCAAACGCAGCATTGATATTGCGGGCTGTTTCTGCCGCGTTAGTTCCGCGTCGGAAGTCGTATTCAAAAATCACTCGAATTTTCGCAGTATCCATCTTTCTTGTCAAAATTGAATAACAAAAACAATTGAAAGTCGATATTCAAATGTTTCAAATTTAAAAAAAAAAAATCACAGAAACCATTTGAAAAAAGTTTCATTCGAAAACCTCAAACCATGAAGATTCTATGAAAATTCAAAGAACCTATTGCAATAAAACGGCAATTTCATACTTTAACCCCTAATATTATCAATGACTTTAATGGAATTACTCATTCAAGCGAGTCACCATTAGTAATTAACGATGTTCTCATGTTGACGCGTATTCATTTTTCATACAAAAATGTAATCCTAATTACATTAGCGGCCTAAATACAGGCGCCTCACGGTTTTTTTACGATTTCCTTTGACCGTAATTTTTGAACAACACTTCATAAAACGTATCGATAAAATATCGATACTTTTAAATAAATGCCAAAAAGTGTATACTGTTTATACATCGATACATCTTCCTCTACAATTATTATTTTAATTTGACTGTAGTGTGTAATATGATGTGTGCGTGTGCGTGTGCGTGTGCGTGTGCGTGTGCGTGCGCGTGCGCGTGCGCGTGCGTGTCTGTGTCTGTCTGTGTCTGTGTCTGTGTCTGTGTCTGTGTCTGTCTGTGTCTGTCTGTGTCTGTGTCTGTGTCTGTGTCTGGGTCTGGGTCTGGGTCTGTGTCTGTGCCTGTGCCTGTGCCTGTGCCTGTGCCTGTGCCTGTGCCAAGAACCAACGTCTCAATGATCCGATCTTAAGTAAAACTAGATTCGATTGTAATTCATTAAAGGGAAGAAAATTGCAAAAAGGACATATGTGTTGTAAAATAGCTTCAATGAATGGCTAACAAGTAACGTGAATTTTCATGGTTTGGTTACGGCATAAAACCCAGTTCTTGTAGGACTGTTAAGGATACGGGGTTTCTGATGAAGAAGAGATGGATGCAGAATTCTGTAGGAATTACACATTTTTTATTTTTTCTACTACAGGGTCAAAAGTACGTCAAACTTGACATTTAAAAGTTTTAAATTCTACTTTATATATGTTACGATAAGAACTAAAAAATAATTTCCAAATATTTTTGTCATTTGAAACAAATATGATTTGATAAAATTAATAATCAATTCTTTTAATTATCTACTTACCTAGTTACCTTAAAAGTTATAATAAGAACCTTGCAAGCACTTGTGCTTGATAAGGTTCTTATTATAACATTGCTTTGGGCACCTACATTTAACAAATCCCTCGAGCCCTGGACGTTGCCTAACTCACGTTCTACATTGTATAGAATACCAAGTTTATAATATAGTTTATTTCACACATTGATTGACTGCTTTCAGTATTCTATAGAATACCGAATCACATACATTGCCGGTAACATATACATACATACATAATTCTAAGGTTAAAAAAAGAAAAATTATTAAGTTACGCTTAGTCACTCAACCGGATCAGTTTGTATTTTTTTCCAACATTATAACTATTGACACTGGAAAATGCTAATTTTTAAGTAGAACTGGTTTTGGATACGCATCACAACTTTCATTAATATTAAGTTAAATTTGGTACTATATCTCATAAACATTTATATTTTGAGGCAGCTTACGATTACATTTAATCCAGCTCTATCTATGGTTATCAATTTCACCTTGGACAAATTCAATCGTCTTTTTGCTTCCAACGCAGTTGAACGGCATCCACATTACATCAAATTCTTTTAACATCTGTATATAGTACAGGGAGATATGTTGTTATTACACCTACAATCCTTCCACCCAATGTAATCATTTCATGCATGTGAATGTCATTTTTGAAAGCCTTGCCCAGGTGACTTGTCCGTGTATGTGACTGCATGCTTATTTGCAACTTTGTAAACCTCCCAATTTCAGAATGGAGCCAGGACTGAGGAGTCAATGCTCACTGATGGCGATTTTAACTCGGTTGGGTAAAAGTTTGAAGTCCATTCTGGTCGGTTAGATGCGTTGCGTGGTTGCGCACGGAGGCACCTCAGTTTGCTCGCGCTGCCCGCGCAGCTCACTCGTGTACTCAACTCCATACTGCCACAAATCGCTGCCGACTTTCCGATACGAATTTGGAACGTTTTCGACCGGTAATGTCGGTTTAACTGCCGCCTTTAAACGGCGAACGCTACTAACGCCTAAATTTCGCATTGCCATTCGAACGCTCGATTGCTTAACTCAGTTACGTTTGAGTTTAATAGATAACTGTGAAGAAACATGTGTTAGCCTTCAGTGCTATGGAGTCAGCAGAATTAGTGCTCTATCAGTGCAGTGAAATTGGAGCATATATTTAGTGGAAAGTGCTAATTTTGCTGTTTGATTCTAGACGATACGTTTCACTGAACGCAAGACAAAAAGTGGTTTTGTGAGCGAGTTCATGTGACTACCGGAGTATTGATACGCATTGCTTTCCCCCTGCCCAGAGCTTGATTTATGGTAGGTAAATTCTTTGGTTCAATGACTGTGTTACCAGATTCGTAAGCCTTCTGTTGAATCCGATGAAAATGCTGTTCAAGCCTGTTTATGCATTGGTTACTTATAGTAGTCAACTTAGACCATTGCTTAGACTTTTGAATAATAGTTAAAGCATAATATCACGTGACGCAACTGGGTAGTCAAAAGCTTCTTACAAGACTTTGAGGCGTTTTCTTATGTGACACTTAAGATCAACACATATTTTGATGTAAGTTTTCTAAACATGTTTTTAGTCAAATTTCACATTATATCTAACTTTCCTGACTCCCGGCAAGTTGTAAACCACTATCATCGCGCTCTGTACGTTTTCAATAGCCAATAATGAATTAATGATGTAGCTAAGTAATGGTTAACCATTCTCAAATATCGCTGCCCGCTTCTTCCTCTCATCTCGAAATGCGGTCGTTAATAAAATTAATTCATCAAAGTTTGCTAAAAGACGATTATTACATTGTGTACATTTTATAGTATAAACAATTTTGACAGTGACATTGAAATATAGCTAGAAGAAAGTGACATTAATAACTTTATTGGCAAACGGATACGCACATCCATCATGCAGAAACCGGAGGTTGTAAAAGCTTACCTCAGATTTGGAATTAATTAATATACGAATGGTAGAATGATTCGACAATTTCAGCGCACGATAGTGGGTCAAGACGATTATTAATTGCGAATCAACGCGAACAAGTGGGACCTCCATTGTAAGCGAAACAAACTGGAACTTGAGAATTCCGTTCACTTTTAAATCTAGAATTTTTTACTCTGCTACATAATGCGTACACCATAGACCTTGGAAACCTCTTCCACTGGTTTTTCGTATCTATCTGTCAGCCCAATGTTGTATTGATATATACATATCAGGTCCAACAAAGTTCGTTTGAACAATTTCCATATTAATAAATTTTCATTATGAAAATGTATGATTTATATACACATAGCTGTAATTTTTAAACCTATTAAAATTGTATTCTAAATTATAGTAAGCTGCTTAAAAATTTTATGTCAAGACCAAACACAGCAATCTGACAAACTTATTTGTGACTGACTTAGATACAGCGTTGAAAAACTGCGATTTCCTGTATTGACGGAAGTATGGGTACAAACAACGATATGCCTCCGTGTCGTTAAAGTACGTTTGCAAGATCAAGATATTGTAGTTTTATTTACCGCAAAAAAATTACAAAGAAACAATGACCTCATCAATGTGCCTTCGTCCATTATGCACGTGCATTTAAGATTGACTTTTAACCCAAACTTTCATTGCGCGTCGCCTTTTCACTTCTTATCTAGAAAATGTTTTACTACAAAATATAGTCTTTTGTTTAAAATTATCAGACTGTAAACAGTTTTGTTTGTGCTTTCAATGTCTAGGATAAGCAATGCCCTAGAGAGTTTGACCTAGGCATACATTGAAATTCTGGGTTTAAAGAGTCACATCGGTTGCTATTTGTGTTCACTCTCTGACCTCTTCGTCACGAGTGCTGCAAAATATTGAGAATCGTGAGCTTTGCTTGTAGGATCTATCGACGAGTTTTAACTGCTTCGAGTTTCTAATGATGAAGCTCGTCTTCCTATTTAAATTGCTTCACTGTGTACGCTCTACTGTTTACAATTACTCTAATTATTGAGTGTTACAGGAATCGACACACTTGTTTAACACTACAGAAACTTCATGGTACATACTATTATATTATTTTTCTTATACCGAATGGAAATTATACCCGCAACAGAAAATGTTATCAAGGGCTGCATGCAATGGGTAAATGTTATTGAGGCCGCTGGGAATAAATCTGAGATTGGCGGGCCATCGGCACCGAAGTCTATTACGTGTATTTCCTCAGTTAGTGCCTCGATCACGATCGCTTTGATTCGGCCGCGACTCATCGACGTAAATTATCGACTGCCCTTGATATTGCGCTATCTCCGTGTCGATAATTTCCTCCCGTTCCCACTTCCATATTTGGGGCCGAACGTAAAACCGTTTATGCTGTTGGAGACTGCTTTTATTAATTCTCAGCAGTTTCTAACTTTCTCAAGATAAAGTATGTAATGTAAGAAATGTTACTTGCATCGACTATACGATGTAAGTAATGTTGTAAATACTATAGTAGTAAACATTAATTTTTTTGCAATATAACTTGGGTACATCACGATCGAAAATAAATAAATGTTCTGTTTTAATTATTATATATTTAAGTTGCGGGTGATACAAAATGTATTCATACCAAATTAAAGACAGAATACATAATATAGTATTTCGATCGTTCCGAAATTGATTACTGTTGGCAACAATAATCATGGCGCTTTTATCTGAGTTCCAAAATATAATTTATATTGATTTAGTTTCTTGGACGTTTCACCTTGAATTTGCTTAGAAACTATAAAAATCCCCGTTGCTTAGAATAAATTCAAGACTATATTAAATACGATTTTTTTTGTTCCAAACGTGCTCAGTAATAATTGTAGATGACATTCAATTGTTCTTAGGAGCTAAATAAAATATCTTGCTTAAAAAATAACCATTAGGTATAGAAATTTAGTATTTAAATTGAAAATCAGAATATGTATGAAACCTATTAATTAAGACGTCCTGGCGTATATTTCAAGGCCAACATTTGTTTCATTGCTTGTTAATTTCCTTATTTTTATTTACTGCTCATTATAGTTGTATAAATTATTAATATATTGCGAAATAAACCCTAATATGGTGATTAACTTAACAAACACGTATCATCTTCACGCGGCTATAATTTTATTTACATTTGTGAATTAATTGTTTCTAAGCAAAACAGTGTCGGTTGCACGGAAATCATAAAACTTCGTAGAAAAAACGCATTAGAGCGAGACAGCATTGTCTGCTACCGCAGTACTGTTGTAATAATAACGAAAACCTGTACATAGTTCTGATCCAGATTGCCTTTGTCTCACAGCAAAGGTACAGTAGATCGATTTTTTATGTAATGTGGCAAAAAAGAAACTAACCGTACCTTGCCTGTAAAAAACATTAATTAAACTACCATTACTATCATTATTCAACACATAAGTGGGGCTAGTACGACAAGGCGCGACTTGCGCGAGAACGACACAAAACGCCAGATCTCTATGCGAGAATAACAATGCGAGATCTCGCGCTTTATGTCGCTCTTGCGCTAGTCGCGCGCTGTTGTGATAGCCCAACTGGTACAACTCAGTTTACAGGTAAAATAATCGATCTGGACTATAAATATTGATTATGCTGAAAGATTTATTATTTCAGCATAATCAATATGTTTTTTATTATAAAAAAACACCAAGTTACGCAAAATTTTCACATTTTTACTGCGTTCATCTACGGATAAGTCAGTTTCTTTCGATATTTATTAGAGATTTTTTTTTATGATCCCAAATCTTGCAACGAAGAGTTCGTGCTTACGTGGTAAACAGCTGTCCATAAGTTTCAGTGTCACTTAGAGCTTCAAATCGCAAAGATTACAGGGGCACTGCCACTGCGGCCATCAGATCACCCTAAGACAAAAGTTGACAAGTCCCATGTTCCTGTAATTTCAACAACACCCTTACCCCTGAAAACCGGAACGCAATAATGCACACATTATTTTCTTGGCGGCAGAAATTGATAAGGTGGCAGTACTTTACTGGACGAACTCTTTCACTAGGAGCTCAGCTCTACTGCTACCAAGAATAGACATAAATTTACATAAATATCTCTTATGATAATGATATTTTTACCCTGTGTTCCGTAATAAGTACGTTGGAGGACTATAATCTTATTTTGCAATATGAGATGTATGCATTATGAAGAGAGAAAGAGAGAGAGAGAGAGAGAAAGAGGGAGGAATAGAGAGAGAGAGAGAGAGAGAGAGAAAGAGGGAGGAATAGAGAGAGAGAGAGAGAGAGAGAGAAAGAGGGAGGAATAGAGAGAGAGAGACAGAGAGACAGAGAGAGAGAGAGAGAGACAGAGAGAGAGAGAGACAGAGAGACAGAGAGAGAGAGAGAGAAAGAGAATATTTGTATTTCTAAAAGGCAAATGTTAAAATATCGTCCAATGAATTTAGGGCACCTCCGCGTTTACTTCGAAATACACAACTACGATACTATTATTATCGCCTTAACATAAGACATATCAATACCACGTTGAAAAATATCTAATAAACTAGCAATTGCCTTAGTTACTGGCGCCGCAATACAGATAAGTTCGTCCATCGTAATATAACGTTACGTCATTCGTAACGATCTATTACTTACCTAGTTATAATAAGAAATACGAACGGCGCGGTGGTTAAAGATTCCTTAGGACGTAGTTACATTAGCTATATTTCGACACAAACAAAGCATGCAACCAGCGTGACTGCATACAAACTGCTTTCCGACTGCACTCCTACTGCTAAAGCAGTTGTGTTGCAGAACTACATTTCTTATTTTCTATTTTTAACAAGTTCCCGTATTGCAGTTTTAATGAGTTTCGTTCTTGTTTATTTCATTTATTACTTAATATACAACAACTTACCATAACAAATCTTAACAACTCTTTTAAGAGTCCGTTTCTTTTTTTATATAGATTCTGTAATCAGAAGATGAGCCGGACCTTCCTTAGGTAGGTCAATGTTCCTTAGCTTAAAATATTACCTACGGCTAGGTCATAGTACTGGGTAAGTATCTATTTCCCAGGAACTACTCCGCAGCCGTAGCGGTATCGTATTCAGGCTGAGAACTCCTTTAGGCGTGTAATTTTTATCCCGGCGGGTCACGTCTCGGTATCCCGGGCCAATCCGCCCCGCTGCGTGCATCTCTGATTAATGTAATTATATGAGTCATGTGTATTCGATACCTATCGATAACTGCTTCTCTTTTATTACACATTTCTCCAGATCATTCAAAACTGAATTTAATGGGTACTAACCTGGAGTGTATTAAAATAGAAGTGTCGATGTCTCCGTGAGGCACCATTGTCAGCCTTAAGC